TAGTTTAGTTAAAGCACAACTCACCACGTTTTGTGACTCAGGTTGTTCCACGTTTCCGTCAACATTTTCCACATTCTCTTCCTCAAAATCTATATTTTTTGTTCCATTTCCCTTCGTTTTCGAGACATCCTTTACCCTTGGTAACACCTTAACAACAAGTCGTTTTCAAAAGTGTTACTTTTTTGGTAACCGACGAGTGCTCGAAATCGTATTTCAAGAAAAAATCTTCAATTTTCGGAATTATTGTAAAAATTAAACTTACATTTCCAAAAACAACGTCTTCGTCATCGGAATCGACAGTCTCTTTATTTTTAGCGGCTTCCTTTTCTCGTTCGGCGCATTCTCTGAAATATGAAATGAAAGCGTGAAATAGCCGAAGGACAACAGAATATATAGGCAGGGTAGTTATGGTCATAGATATACAAGAAAGAGTGGAAAGATTATGTAAAATCGGTATGATGTAGAGACATATGTACACAATTTGAGTGCGCGGGGATGGATATTTGGATACAACTAAAGGTATAGAGATCGATATATTTGGATACAACTAAAGGTGTAGAGATGGATATATTTGGATGCAACTAAAGTGTGGGGATGGATATTTGGATACAACTATATGTCGCTGAATTTCTGAAGCATTTCAAGGGATCTTTGACAAGGACTATCAACAGCATAGCATTCGCAAGAGCCCCAAAGGAACACACGACGAATATTGGCAGGTATCTTATATCAGTTTCCTCTGAGAGAGCCGGCATATTGCACGCGCGATAGAGCCACTTCGATGAAATTAAACCAGATATGACAATATTTTGGATATATACATATACATATCATTATTATTTCAAATCGTGCAGCTTTTTCTAGTCCATAAACACAGTTTAATAATTGAGCGGTGTTTTTTTATCAATAAGCCCGAGTTTCATGCAATTTCCTGAATGCATTATATAAATATGTATTGAATTGAAATTTGTTTATTAAAAACACTTATAGTGACGCATCGGAAATGACGCGCGATATATTCGACTCATATTGAATTTGACACTGTTAGAATAAAAATGAATATCGCTTGAAATATATATGTATATGGGTCAATAATAATAATATGATTTAATAATTCAACACTTATATAGCCCTATTTACAATGACAGATCAATAGCGCTTAAAACGTTATGTTCAATAAGAAATCTTACAACAGTATATGCAAGATAAATTACAAATGTAAGATAAGAACAGAGTGTAGGTCTATACATTACTTCTATATTCACTTCACTTCACTTCACTTTACTTTACTTTAGTGTTAGTGTGTATTTTAAGGCGGTAATGCCGAGTATAGGTGAGCTAGGGTAATCATTTACGAGAGTATTTTCTATTTTCTATATTTTCTTGATTATATAAAAAGTAAAACGACAGTATTCATTCAACTATGTACAGCGTACGAGGAACGAACATGTTCATATATTCATGACGTTAACAGGCCTGTAAAAACCATAGCCGGCCCCAAATTGCGCGAGAAATGTTTCGGTAATTTGTCAATATAAAGCCGGTTTTATTGGAGCAATTTGTTCCAGATGGTTGCAGTTGAATGCTCTGAAACAAAAGTAAAATGTCGCTTCGCAGGAATAATATCGCAGAATAACGTAAGCGGACGCGAATGTGGGTTAATTGTAGTGGAGCGAAACCTACAGAAAAACAACCTGTAGTCCTGTAAGAGATGCGTCTGGGAAATGCATCAAAAGCATCCTGTTTTGTTATTATAAATATAGGTTAAAATCATTGTTGTAAGTTAGTTATGTATTAAGCCGCGTTTACACTACGTGCTTTGACCTGGCCTGGACCAGGCCTAGATGTGAACGTTGTTTATCCAGCCTATACCAAGCCTGGACCTGGACTAGGCCACAAAATCTAGGACAACACAATGAGCAGAAAGTAGCCTGGACCTGACCTAGGGCAAGATTTTGGTAATGTGAACAGGCTTTACCTAGTCCTGACCAATTTTTAACTTGATATAGTGTGATTTGTATTGGATTCATATAGTAGTACCCCTTTTCGGGGTATTCTGGGTCTTTTTCTAAGTATTTTGTCATCTACTTTGACTATCCGATATCATCACCAAGGCGCACATATTACCTAGACTTGTCTTAGACCTGGTCCAGGTCAGGTCTAGGTCTGAAGTGTAAACGCGGGTTTAGAGCGTGAATTGTTGTAAAGAGTTGATTTCTGAATAAATGTAAAATCATACACAATCACAGAGTGTGCAATTTTGGACAAGCGTAGCGGAAAATCAGACTTGTTCGGAGATTTTCAACATCCCCCACCTAACGATTTCCGCAGTGCGCTGTCGTTAAGCCTCTTACAGACGAGCAAGTTTTCTATGACAATGTTGGATGTACAGTTGGGTGTACGAACAATTAAAACTTGTCACAAAAACTTGCTCGTCTGTAAGAGGCTTAAGTCGCCTACGGTAGTTAGTGAAACTATTTTCAGTTTTGGATTTAACCACCAATTAACTACCCTAGGCAGAGAATTGTGGTGTAAAGGTCGGCGCACACTAGAGCCATGTGCCAATTGCTATCGTGTGCGGGCGACTTTTCCGGCGACTTTGGTCATTCGTGTCACTTACGGCAAATAACCGGCATGTTTGATGATTTTTGCCTCGTGTGCCGAAATCTTTCCGTGTGCGACTAAATGAAAGCTATCTGCTTACGGATTGTCTTAACAGCGTATGCGTACTATATGACCTCAGCCACCAACTCATTTTGCAGTTTGCACCGACATCTTGAATGCTTATTTTCCTATACTACGCATGCGCTGCTAAGACAATTCGTAAGCAGATAGCTTTTATTTTAAAATAGCCGCACACGGAAGGATTTCGGCACGCAAGTCAAAAATTATCAAACATGTTAGATAATTGCCGTAAGTGTTCCGAATGACCAAAGTCGCACGCATACGAGGGAAACTGGCTTGCACGCCAATGGCCACGAATGATTTTTTGCTAAGCACATAGCTCTAGCGTGCGTCGACCTTAAGGTCTACCGTTTAACCATTTACAGTGGCGTATCCAGCCTGACGATTTTGTCCCGCTATCCAAATTTCAAGTTTTTATATTCATATATATTTCACATTTATATATCATGGTCTGCAGTGTTTTGTTCTACAAATTCTAAAAACAAACCTTTCTTTAGCTGACTGTCAATCTTTCGACCCTCATTCAGTAAAGCTGTACACTGGAACTGAAGAAATTATTTCAGTTAATTCATTTTACAATTGGGATTTGCATATTAAGACAGGGGACAGTTTCATAGAGTTATATTCCAGCATTAATCAATAACAATAAGAGATGATCCTTACTGGACCTCTAAGAAGAACAGTTTAGAACTGATAGAGATATCCAGTATAAATAAAGTTAGTTCACTTTAAGTTTTCTCCTGTAGTAGCACTGGATCAATTCCTTACTTGACCTTTAGGAGGAACAGTTTAGAACTGATAGAGATATCCAGTATAAATAAAGTTAGTTAACTTTAACTTTTCTCCTGTAGTAACACTGGATCAATTCCTTACTGGACCTCTAGGAAGAACAGTTTAGAACTGATAGAGCTATCCAGTATCAATAAAGTTAGTTTAGTTTAAGTTTCCTCTCGAACTAACACTGGATCAATAAGAGATGATCCTTACTGGACCTCTAGGGAGAACAGTTTAAAACTGATAGACCTATCCAGTATAAATAAAGTAAGTTTAGTTTAGGTTTCCTCCTGCAGTGACACTGGATCAATAAGAGATGATCCTTACTGGACCTCTAGGAAGAACAGTTTAGAACTGATAGAGCTATCCAGTATAAATAAAGCTCGTTTAATTCAAAATTCATCTTGTAGTAACAACTACTGGATCAATAAGAGATGAACATTAGTGGACCTAGCTCTACTAAAGGCCGGCGCACACTTAGCAAAAAGTCATTCGTGGCCATTGGCGTAAGGCAATTGCTCTGGTGTGCGGGCGACTTTTCCGGCGACTTTGTTCATTCGTGCCACTTACGGCAAATATCTAACATGTTTGATAATTTCTGCCTCGCGTGCCAAAATCTTTCCGTGTGCGGCAAAATAAAAGCTATCTGCTTATGGATTGTCTTAACAGTGCATGCATGCGTAATATACGAAAGTAAACGTCCAAGATAGCGGACAGATTGCAAAAACAAAATTATGGGTGAAAGTGAAGACGAAGAGGTGTTGTTATTTTTGTTGCTGTTGCGTCGGACTAGCCTAGAATTCCGCTTTATTAAACACCGTTGTCCAAGGGCTATTAATTATATCACCTGTTTGAGAAAGCTTACCATAGCTATTTCTGCAATAGCGCATGCCCGTTTCTCTAAAATCTGTAGAATTCACATCGTATAAACACCTGTATTCTGGCCAAAGATCAACCAGTTTTGTCTTTCAATATGGTCTCAGCCACCAAATTCGTTTTGCTTTGTTTGCACCGCTATCTTTGATGTTTACTTTCGTATATTACGCATGCGCTGTTAAGACAATTCATAAGCAGATAGCTTTCAGTTTGCCCACGAGATTCTGTTAACTGTGGTTTGCCGCACACGGAAAGATTTTGGCACACGATGCACTCGGATGCAGAAATTATCAAACATGCTAGATATTTGCCGTAAGTGGCACGAATGACCAAAGTCGCCTGAAAAGTCGCCCGCACATGAGAGCAACTGGCTTACGCCAATGGCCACGAATGATTTTTTGCTAAGCACATAGCTCTAGTGTGCGCCGGCCTTAAGGAAGAACAGTTTAGAACTGACAGAGCTATCCAGTATAAATAAGGTTAGTTTAGTTTAGGTTTCCTTCTGTATAGTAACACTGCATGGGTCAATAAAAGATGTTCCTCACTGGACCTCTAGGAAGAACAGTTTAGAACTGACAGAGCTATCCAGTATAAATAAAGTTAGTTTAGTTTAGGTTTCTGTAATCAATAAGACATGAACAGTAGAATTTAGTTACTTTACTTACAACTTTATAACGACTTTCACATTTCTTTGCCAACTGCTCTAACTCAAATTCCATATCAATATCTTGTTCAGACATTGCTCCATCAATGTCTTGTTTATTTGCAAACCTGTATATTAAAACATAAAGGCATGTTTATATATATTATACTAACTCAGTATCAGATCAGGAATAGATTTACTGAGGGCCGTGGGGCAGGCCATACCTCTTTATCCTAGACTGGAGGGATGAACCTGGAGTGTAAATTTGGGTATTGGGTAATTATTAGGGAATTATGAAAGGCAATTAATTATATAGTATTAAATTATAATTATTTAAGTCATTAACTTAGGAGTTTAGAAACTTTAATCAATGCATGTCTGTGATAGTCCAAGCAGCACCATCTCATTTTCAAAATATTTTCAAACAAACATATAAAAAAAAACTATTAATACAGTAGGTATACTCATATACCCACTGGGGGCTAGCTCTGTGCACACCCCCTGGCCTCACAGGGGATGATCCACACCCCTGACAAAACCACCCCAGGTTTCTGACCGTGTTGGACAATTAAACCACAGTTAATAGAATATACATAATTTGGAGACCACATAGAACTACAATAGAACTCATTAACTATGATGAGGTAGATTCAAGCAAAAAATTGTTCCTTTATCATCACATGTCTGTTATTGTATTTTGCTAAGATAAACCAATAGCAATCTTATAATTAACATATTTTTCAAGTCAAGGTTGATGAGCTTTACAGCAAGACGAATGCCATTGGTAATTTTGGCTAAAATACAATAAACATGTGATGAGAAAGGAACCATTTTTGGCATAAACCTGGAAAATAACATAGTTAATGAGTTGTATTGTGCTTTTATTTAGTCTCTAAACCATGTATTATCTATTAACTGTGAACAAACCAACTATCATACCCAGGTAAGGTAAAAAGGTACAGAATTAAGTCATTCAAAATGGATAACTTCTATACTCACACAACAAAAGGTTTCCCAGAGAGTCTTGAATCTGATAATGCTTCACGTAAAACTGTTCTGGAATCTGCTATTCTCTCACGGTCACTTGCATCAACAACATAAACAACGCCAAATATCTGAAAAAGAACACAATGTCATTTACATTCTTGTATGTTTGCTCCGTGACAGTCGATAAATAATTTAGCTTGTAGGTACACCACGTAAGTATTTAATAATGCAAAGCTTTCGGTCTGTTAACCTTGCACTGATGAAGGCCGAAGTTGATGGACCGAAAGCTTTGGAGTATTAATTAGTACTTATGTGATGTACCTCCAAGCTAAATTACTTACAATGTCATTTACTCAGCAGCTGTTGATCAAATTGAAATGACCTAGAATTGGACAGGGAAGAATACCAAAGCACTAAGAACCTCTGTGCTTGTATATGTGTATATGTACCTCCGCATAATAATCTTTCCATATTCCTCGGATACGAGGTCCACCACCAACATCATAAGCTGTCACTTTAAAATTCAATAACTTGAACTCCGCACTGGAAAACCCGATTGTTGGAACTGTCGACTCTTTGGGTTCTAAAAAAAGCCACAATGAATATATTTCGTTAACAACCATCCCACATTATAGACACAGTAGCAAGCTTATATGTTAAAAAGAGACACTGACAGATAGTTTTGTTAACTCATTAACTGACAGCTAGTATACTCTTCCACTGATGAGTAAAATCATCTGGTATTAGACAACTGAGTAAAATACTAAAGTAGGCCACATCTGGGTGCATTGCAAGCTAATGGGTTAACAAGAGACACTGACAGATAGTTTTGTTAACTCATTAACTGGCAGTACTCTCTCATTGATGAGCAAAATCATCTGACATTAGACAGAGTAAAATACAAATATACTGGCATCAATATCTGCCTATATCTTAAAACATGTCAAACTTTTCATCACAGTATGATTCAAACTCTCATCAGTAAGAAGATATTAATTTCATAAAAAGGCTCTAAATAATACCTCCTTTCATATCATTGATAATAGTTGATTTGCAGCGTTATCAATCCCTAACATGAGAAGTTTGACATCTCTACAAAACAAATATTTTAAAAAATAATAACTGTCACAATTAAATACCACCTAAAACTAGATAGATCGTTGGTAAAGAAGGTAAATCGTATTCAATCGACTTTGATCAGCGAAAGAAAAACATTTTAATTCTCTAAACAAAGCAAAACGAACCAGTTTTGTCTCAAAATTTGTCATAAATCAATTGAAATTTGATTGTTTCATGAAATTATTTTAAATAATGCTTTTCAGTTGAGTGTAACCGCTCTGAATTACTCAGCAATCTACCGTACCATGAAGCTGTTTTCACGCACAGTAAAATGAGTGAATAAGACCGTAAGATATCCGAAATTTTTGCTTAAATCAGAGACGAAGCTAATGACAAATTATGCTCAAATAGAATGTAAATATAGCAGAATATACAAACCTCGAATCCCGCTTGTATATGCGAGAAAAACATTTCGAAATATAATTGAACATACTTCGGTGTCTAGCACGGTGTTAAGTAGCCTTTCTTTAGTAAAATCATCGTCGATTTAACGCACTCTTGCTCGATAAACCAGGGTCAAAACACAAGAGATTTGCTTTAGTTTTCGACATTGTGCTTGGAGCATTGAATGTTCCCCCGCCGGCCACGGGGTTCTTTTTGAATTTGATTAGCTGCCATGTCAACCACTGAGCTTGGGAAAGAACTGGAGTAAGGGACAGCGGGTCACTCTGCTATATAGAAATCTTGGAGGGGGTCATTAGTATATCATTTTCTCGATTTCTACACGACGTACCCCAAAACCACAAAACTATTGAAATAAGCCATAACAGTGCAATAGCTAAAGTTTGAATTTAAGCTTTGAGAAGCCAAGTTTGAATAGGTAATTACGTAATGATTCTGTACCCATGTTTTGAAATTCATTCCCACAGTGTTCTGGGAATCCAACCCAGAAGCCCAACACGCGTTTTCATCACTATCAACAAACACGTTTTAGTTTGGCCCCAAACATGGACACTGTTTTTTGATGCCAAAAAAAGAGAGGGAAACCAGAGAAATATGATGAACCTTACCGGACCTCTAGGAACAACAGTTTAGAAATGATAGAGCTATCCAATATAAATAAAGTTTGTTTAGTTTAGGTTTCCTGCTGTAGTAACAATGGATAATAAGAGATGATCCTTACTGGACCTCTAGGATCAACAGTTTAGAACTGATAGAGCTATCCAATATAAATAAAGTAAGTTTAGTTGAAGTTTCCACCTGTAGTAACACTGGATCAATAAGAGATGATCCTTACTGGACTTCTAGGAAGAACAGTTTAGAGCTGATAGAGCTATCCAATAAAAATAAAGTTAGTCTAGTTTAGGTTTCCTCCTGTAGTACAATATAACACCAAATATAAGAGACACTGACAGGTAGCTTTGTTAACTCATAAACTGAGAGTATTTTTCTACTAATGAGTAAAAAATCTAGCATTACAGTAAAATACTAAAGTAAGTCACATCTGAGTGCATTGCAAGCTAATGAGTTAACAAGTGACACTGACAGATATTTTTGTTAACTTATTAAGTGACAATACTCTATCTACTGATGAGTAAAATCATATGGTATTGGGAAAAATACTAAAGCCCAGGGCACATGCACTGGAGGAAACTGAGTTGAGCCTCACTTATGACAGTTAGCAGTTAGCTGCGTTGTTTCCTCAAGTGTGTGGTGTCGTATTCTGCGTTTTCTTGCACGCCTGTTATGGGCGTCAGATATTCAAAGTGGAATAATTTTGTGCACAAGTGAACATTTCCTCACAGTGTGCGCGAGTCCTGAGCTATCAGCTCAGCAGTTGGAGCGAATGATACTCATGTAAAATGAATTAAGAGTGGGTTCAAACACATTTAAAGTTCAGATATATTACATTCATTGCTTTTAGCAGTCAACCTCGTAAAGACAGGGATAATCGGGCCAAAAAATCCGCTAATTTGTTTTCCAGTACAGCCATTAGCTTGCAATGCACTAAGATGTGTCCTACTTTAATATTTTACTCTGTCTAATGCCGGATGATTTTACTAATCAGTGGAAGAGTACTGTTAGTTAATAAGTTAACAAAACTATCTGTCAGTGTCTCTTGTTAACCGATTAGCTTGCAATGCAGTCAGATGTGACCTACTTTAGAATATTACTCCAAATCAAGATTATTTTCCTGATTAGTGGAAGAGTACTGTCAGTTAACGAGTTAACAAAACTATCTGTCCTGAAGTGTGTCTTGTTAACCCATTAACTTGCAATATGCACTCAGATGTGTCCTACTTTAGTATTTCACTGTAATACCAGATGATTTCACTCACCAATTGAAGATTATTGTCATTTATCGAGTTAACAAAACTATCTGTCAGTGTCTCCTGTTAACCTATTAGCTTGCAGTACAATTAAATATGAGAATACTCTTCCACTAATGAGTAAAATCATATCCATTTGGAGAAATATTCTAAAGTAGGCCACATTTGGTTGCATTGAAAGCTAATGGGATAATGAGTTACTAAACTATCTGTCAGTGTCTTTTGTTAAGCCATTAGTTTGCAATGCACCCAGATGTGACCGAATTTTCTATTTTACTCTAATGCCAGATGATTTTACTCATCAGTGACAAAGTACTGTCAGTAAATGAGTTAACAAAACTATATGTCCAAGTCTGTTGTTAATTAACAAGAGACACTGACAGATAGTTTTGTTAACTCTTTACTGACAAAACTGTTCAATTGATGAGTAAAATCATCTGGTATTAAGGTAAAATACTAAGGTAGGTCACATCCGGGTGCATTGCAAGCTAATTAATAAGCTAACAAGAGACACTGACATACAGTTTTGTTAACTCATTAACTGACAATACTCTTTCACTGATGAGTAAAATAATCTCGATTTGGAGTAATATTGTAAAGTAGGACACATTTGGGTGCATTAAAAGCAAATCAGTCAATGAGTCACCAAACTATCTGTCAGTGTGTCTTACCCATTAGCTTGGAATGCACCCAGATATGACCACTTTAATATTTCACTGTGTACCAGATGATTTTACTCATCAGTGGAAGAGTACTGCCAGTTAATGAGTTAACAAAACTGTCTCTCAGTGTCTCTTTTTACCCAATTAGCTTGCATTGCACCCAGATGTGTCCCACTTTAGTAAACGTATTATAGACAAGAGTAAAATACTAAAGTAGGCCACATCTGAGTGCATTGCAAGGTAATGGGTTAACAAGAGACACTGACAGATAGTTTTGTTATCTTATCAACTGACAGTACTCTTCCACTGATGAGTAAAATCATGTGACATGATACAGAGTAAAATAATAATATATGTATCATATCTGCCTATATTTTAAAACATGTCAAACTTTTCATCACAGTATGATTCAAACTCTCATCAGTAAGAATTGCATTTTAATTCTCTAAACAAAACAAAACAGTTTTGTATCAAAATTTGTCGCAAATCTATACACAATTGAATTTCAATTCTTTCAAAACGATCGATTTTCTTTGCTTTTAAGTCGAGTGTAAGCGCTCTGAATTACTCAGCAATCCACTGTGCCATGAAGCTGTTTTCACGCACAGAAAAATGAGTAAATAAGACCGGAAAGATGTCTGAAATAGGGGCGAAGACTTGATAAATAATTCCTGAAATACAATGTAAATATAACACAATAATAATACAAACCTCGAATCCCGCTTGGATATGCGAGAAAAACATTTCCAAATGTAATGGAACATACTTCGGTGTCAAGCACGGTATAAAGTAGTCTTTCTTTAGTAAAATCATCGTCGATTTAACGCACTCTTGCTCGATAAACCAGGGTCAAAACACAAGAGATTTGTTTTCGTTTCGACATTGTGCTTGGAGCATAATATTTGAATGTTTCCCACTGAGCTATATAATAATTCCTCAGTTATAATATAGCTCAGTGATTTTTCCCCCACCGGCCACCGGTTCCTTTTGAATTTTGATTAGCTGCCATGGCAACTTTGGGAAAGAAACTGGAGTATTAAAGGGACGGGAGGTCACTAACTCACACTCAGCTATATACCGAAAGCTTTGCGCAGTATTGAATAGTTACGTGGTGTTCCTACAAGCTAAATTACTTCTATAGAAATCGTGGAAGGGTCATTTGTATATCATTTTATTTATCTCTACAGGGTGTTCCCCAAAACCACAAAACTATTGAAATCAGTCATAACAATACAATAGTCACAGTTTGAATTTGTGTTTTGAGAACGATAATTTGAAACTTCCAAACAGAAATAGGTAATTACATAATGATTCTGTACCCATGTTTTGAAATCATTCCCACAGTGTTCTGGGAATTCAACCCAGAAGCCCAACACGAGTTTGCATCACTATCAACAAACACGTTTTAGTTTGGCCCAAACATGGACACTGTTTTTTTATGCCAAAAGAAAGAGCGGGAAACCAGAGAAATATGATGATCCTTACTGGACCTCTAGGAACTGATAGAGCTATGCAGTATAAATAAAGTTCGTTTAGTTTAGGTTTCCTCCTGTAGTAACATTGGATCAATAAGAGATGAACCTTACTGGACCTCTAGGAAGAAAAGTTTAGAACTGAGAGAACTATCCAGTATTAATAAAGTTAGTTTAGTTTAGGTTTCCTCCTGTAGTAACACTGGATCAATAAAAGATGATCCTCACTGGACCTCTAGGAAGAACAGTTTAGAACTGATAGAACTATCCAGTATAAATAAAGTTAGTTTAGTTTAGGTTTCCTCCTGTAGTAACACTGGATTAATAAGAGATGAACCTCACTGGACATCTAGGAAGAACAATTTAGAACTGATAGAACTATCCAGTAGAAATAAAGTTAGTTTAGTTTAGGTTTACTCCTGTAGTAACAATGGATCAATAAGAGATGATCCTTACTGGACCTCTAGGAAGAACAGTTTAGAACTGATAGAGCTATCCAATATAAATAAAGTTAATTTAGTTTAGG